CAGATGCTGTTTCCCGACCATGTCTGTAAAACCAGGCCGGATGATAGACATTCAACATTGGCCGCACATGCCCAGACTCTCGCTCCTTCCTAAATTCAAGTTTGGAAAAAAACCTTGAGCAGCGTTTTTATTATAGACAACTTACCCATACGATGCATTCACCTTTGAAAACAAAAATATTTATAGATACTTAGAATTTCGCCTGGTGTTCAAATTTGTAGGTAAACAACCAATTATATATCGAGTTCTACTTGTCCGAGGAAAACCTCGGATGATAACACATGCTATTTTCCAACCATGTATGTGAAACTAGGCCAGATTATAGACGGTCTTAATGCTAGTATTAAACGAACGGTCAACACATTACGAGACACATTCAAAATAAGAATGAAGGCCACATATCGGAACTAATATATCAAGCTCCTTAAAGACACAATATGGTCAAAATGAAATCGCTGAGAGATGCACATGTGTTATTGAAAAATGGAATGACCTTTTCAGTGACTCGAAATGCTCATCTCAATATCCGTATACTAAAAACACCATCGGTCTACACACTGGATTTCAAAATTGACATTGTAAAATAAGTTTGAGTTAATGGACGAAGACCAGCCGTCTAACCGGTGGGTTGACACTTATGTTCGACGTTAAATGTCAAATGGATAGGAATTAACATACGGAATCAGATGAGATGAAATAATGACAAAAAACAAAAACTTTCTTCTATTGAGATTGAACACTAATTGATCCATCGGAGAGATAAAATATGTCCCTGATATCGAAATAAACATATCTTCCTTGGGCTGACCATTTAGTGTAACAACATGTAATTTCGATCGTTAGAAAGTAAAAAACACTAAATGCTTGATATGCTTTTTTTTAATTTTTAATTAATTGAAATGGTATTGATATCGTAGCAGCCTGAGCCTTCTGATGCCATTCTTGTTGCCGCTTTCCCAAACGATCTTAGTCTCGATGACGCTTGATCATGATCCACGATCTATCGTTCCTGTTAAAAAGTCTTCACATTCTTCTCAAAAGTGATATCGATCTCGTTGACGCTTGATCTTAGTGACACCTCTCTACGTGGCAAGCCCGAACGAATCGGCACTTTATCTTGATTTTTGCACAAAAGCGGAATCGTTTAGGCTCGCCTCGCAGAAAAATGTGGCGCCTCTCTATCACTGCTATGATGTCGTTTCCGGTTTCGCTGTATCGTCGTAGGTTTTGAGAATCCATGTCCATTATTTAACCTATTTCCAGGCAACTGGAACCGGAAGTGTGGTGTTTAAGTGACCGGATGAACTTTATTAAAAGCTAACCATCTTTCGTAAGTTCCTATCATTGCTCTAAAAACACTTCCTTAGTCACATGCATCTCTTTTCCGCAAATCCATTTTCCTTTCACTTTGTTGTTTTGTATTTGTTTTGTTATTTTATGAATGGTAAATTGAATTACACGACCATTGTATTAAATGTCCCTAAAACGTAGCAAGCAACATATATTTCATCCGCCAAAGAACGAAATTACCAAAAACAAGTACAACATAAACCCTATCACGATTTAATCTACCAAAATGCATGGTATCAATGGGAAATACCGAACGAAAGAATAAAAAGTCCCTCAAAACCAGTTAGGCATACACATCATCAATACATGAAGACTCAATGACTGATGTTAACAAGTTTAGATTTCACCCCTAATGGGGTTACTCCTACAAGGTTCGTCAGAAGTTGAAACATTGATATCGACATAGAGCCCTCCACGGAGATTTGTAAAACACGAACCGCAACTCTTTAAGAAAAACTCCATCAAACCAACATTAAGATTTGCATACGCAGCTGAAACATGTAAAAAGATCCGCTGAGATATCTTGCTTTGCTCCCTACTGTACATGTAACATAACCCTGCATATTCCTTTACCTCATGTAGGATGCCTGAGGCGACTAATGAGACAACCACGACAGGAGCTGGTCTTTTTTTCTTTAGTGCCCTCTATAAACTGGGAAAACAGACATAAACCAAAACGGTTTTGCACCTTGCATTGGATTGTTTTAGAGGATATTTATCTTTTAGTCTTTTTTTTCTGTGTTGTCCCCCTAGGCATCCATGGCTAGCCCGTTTTTAGAGTACAGTGATCGGTAGAGTCAGCCGGCTAACGTCCAGAAGTCGTAGCATTTCAGTACTAGGTGAACTCGTACTTTAGGCAGGACAACGCCCTGATATGACCATAGCTATTACGGACAAATATACAAATATCTGCCTTTGAAAAAATATCGTTCTGTTTTAATATACACAAACGTGATACGAGATCAAAAGGATTATTATAAACTGAACCTTGATTCCTTCCATATATATGATTTTTCATATCTCTTTCTGAAAAAAGAGAACACGTTCAAAATAGCTTTTAGTTAAAAACGACAAAGAATATCTTAAAGACGTCTCTATGACAACGCGTGTTCTGTCAAACATATGTGTGTTTTTTTACCTAACCGGATTTTATGATGAATGTGCAAGATTTGCTTTTTTTCAGCTTCAGAAATTCAAAGTGTGTGATATTCACATATTGAACTCAATAATTTACGATCGATTTACGGCTGGTAATGCTAAATCTATGGGGCATTGATTAGTTCTTACTTCTTTCCTCGCTAAGATTAAAGTTGATCAAGGTTGAAAGGAGATTCTTTAGTCTTGAAAACAAATGAAAGATTTGAAAGCTAGAAAATTGAGATGTCTGATTTATTAGTACACTAATCATCCACACTAAACCAGTACAAGAGTTCAAAGGAATTGAGATAAGCTGTTTAGAGCAGGGACAGATCTGGAGCTGTTCAGTACGTTCAGTACGGGGCAGTGTTAAGACGGATCTAGATATGTTCAGTACGTTCAGTACAGGGGAGTGTCAAGACAGATCTAGAGGTGTTTAGTACGTTCAGTACGGGACAGTGTTAAGACAGATCTAAAGCTGTTCAGTACGTTCAGTACGGGACAGTGTTAAGACGGATCTAGATATGTTCAGTACGTTCAGTACAGGGGAGGGTCAAGACAGATCTAGAGGTGTTTAGTACGTTCAGCACGGGACAGTGTTAAGACAGATCTAAAGCTGTTCAGTACGTTCAGTACGGGGCAGTGTTAAGACGGATCTTGATATGTTCAGTACGTTCAGTACAGGGGAGTGTCAAGACAGATCTTGAGGTGTTTAGTACGTTCAGTACGGGACAGTGTCAAGACAGATCTAACGCTGTTCAGTACGGGACAGTGTTAAGACAGATCTAAAGCTGGTCAGTACGTTCAGTACGGGCAGTGTTAAGACATATCTGAAGCTGTTCAGTAAGTTCAGTATGGAACAGTGTTCAGACAGATCTAGAGATGTTCAGTACGTTAAGTACGGGGCAGTGTTAAGGCAGATCTGGAGCTGTTCAGTACGTTCAGTATGATGCAGTGTTAAGAAAGATCTAGAGCTGTTCAGTACGGGGCAGTGTTAAGGCAGATCTGGTGCTATAATGTACGCTCAGTACGGCGCAGTGTTTAGGCAGACCTGGAGCTGTTCAGTACGTTCATGGCGGGGCAGTGTTTGGACAGATATAAAGCTGTTCAGTACGTTCAGTACGGAAAAGTGTTAAGACAGATCTGGCGCTATTCTGTACTTTCAATACGGGGCAGTGCTTATACAGTTCTGGAGTTATTCTGTACGCTCACTACGGCGCAGTGTTTAGGCAGTTCTGGAGCTGTTCAGTATGGGGCAATTTTAAGACAGATATGGATCTGTTCAGTACTGGGGTTTGCTTGAACAGAGTTGTTTAGTGGGGCAGAGCTGTTCAAAGCGGTGCCGAGGAAATGCTAGGGCAGTGCTGCGACAGATCTAGAGCTGTTTCGTGCGGGGCAATCAGGGGGAATGATAGCGAAGCGCTGAGGCAGATCTAGTGATGGACATAGCTAGGGAAATGATAGGGCCGTGCTGGGACAGATCTAGAGTTGTTTCGTGCGGGGCAGTGTTTGGGACATGTTAGGGCAGTGCTTGGACACATGTACAACTGTTTAGTGTTAGGGTATTGCTTGGGCAGATCTAGATATTTCTATCGCGGGGCACTGCTAGTGGAAAGCTAGGGCAGTGCTAGGACGAATCTAGAGTTGTTCAGTGATGGTGCAGATAGAGCTAGGGAAATGCTAGTTTTGATGCATGTGTAGGCATATATCATCAAATGATATAAAATTATGTCTATATACTGTAAGAGTTTCAGACGGAGCATACCTACCTTTACGGATGCCAGCCTGTGTGGTGCTTTAGTTTAGTCCGAGACAATCAGTCTACCTGTAAAAACAAAAGAAAACACATTTCAATCATGTCGGTATAAAATGAAATATCTGATATGCTGGGTTTCGTTGATGTTCCGTACCATTCAGATACATGGGTAAGTAAGGAGCAAACCTGTACTCATTAACTGATTGTGGGGAACACGTTTGCTTTCACCAGGGACTTTATCTTGGTCATATTTACATGTACATATCAAACAGGTACTCTTGAATATATGTCACATGAAGCACAACGTCAAATTTTCTGAGCAAAAAGATGTATCATAAGTATAAATTCACAGACAGGACAAAGAACAATATCTTCTTTTACGAAGCGATATCATCCCATCATCAATAATTTCCTTTGATGAACATCAAAGTTGAGCAATTCGAACACAGGTTTATATTCTTTAAATTCATACATCGAATACAGATTCTATTTTAAAAGCTCCTTTGGTTTCAGAATATTGGTTGCTTGCCATAATTTGTGTTTGCTTTGACTTGTGTTTTACGTCATATCAATAACAATGGTCATATCAAGTCGTGACAAATATAATGTGTAATTGACGCACACACAAAACAATCCTCTTCCTGAGAGTGTGCAACTGATTCCTTTACACAATGAATACAGCTATTAATAGATCTATAGCTTTAATGTTTGTACATGTATGCCTTATTTTATGTTGCATGTTGAGTTTCATTTTCGTTTTTCAACAATAAACATTTAACAATGTGTCATGTGGTTTGAGTTAATGGCCCGTTTAAATAGATATCGTCAGTCAATTATTAATTATTTATCAATTATCGTGCTATTGAAATATAATTTCGTAAGGATGTTATAATTATAAAGATATTACAATTTTTATTTTTATTTTTGAACGAGCTAATGTGTCAGTAAGGATCAGTCGAGGAAACACGCAAGGAAATAATCGAGCATGGGGGCAAGTACGCCATTCACTGATCAAGAAAGCAAACACGTTATTGCCTTCATATGAAAGTGGACAGTTTGCGTAATAATTTTGATTAAATGAATTTGAATTGAGCTATTGCTCTTTGGTACGACGTAAACCTTACCCCGACTAACGCGATCAAACCGAGATATGGTGCCCATAGTCGATAATCTCATCTAACCATCACCGCTGTAGGTAGAAACCGCTGATCGCCCCGAAAGTAATCATCTTGCATTTGGTCACATAATCATTTTCCGTTGAGTGTGTAATTACGATATTTTCCCCCAGAGAGAAGAGATAACTTCAAAGTTAACAATTCAGTTTTCAACCTAACATAATTGATTGCTATTGAACGCAACGGCTTTCATACCTGTTCAGGTACGCGAACGTAGTGGTACCTTTCAGGAGAGTCATCAGGTTCGTCTTCAAAGACATTGTTTCTCGGGCAAATCGAAAAAAGACAATAAGTATGTGAAAAGACGATTATCTCAGGGAACGGAGGATTATCAAAATAACATCGCAAGTTCTTTATCATACCAGGGCTTTGCTGGCAAGACACGCAAAAACCTCTATTGTCTGTTTAAGAAATCTAAGAAAAAATGGTAATTGCATGCAAATTACGGTTTAGCAATACAGCGTTGGAAGCCGTGTATTGTTGTTGTGATGTCGAAGCTTCCATCCGTGAATAAGAGGTAGTCTCCGATTTCCATCATTAGGAACCTATTCATATTTCGCTGGTAACTGAGGATATGCGGCTCATTGAGACAGCAATCTATTTTAGGTACGTTTAGGCGAGGCTGGCTGAATACCCATGCTCAGCGCTAGCAATAATGGTTTCCGTATAAGATGGAATCATTAGACGATCGCGTGTAGTGTTGAATAGCGTCAGCATACAGTCTTGACCAGTAAGTGATGCTATTTATCTTATACTACTGACAGATTTTTTAAAAACTCAAAACCTGAATTCAATAAGGTTCTTTATTTATGCATTTCTTCACGTCGTTTCTAATTGGATTTTGTTTTCTCCTCAGACATTCCATTCGTAATGGGATCGAATAGGACGGGTATAACAACATGCGTACAAATTCTGATTATTTCCAGAAGTACATTTTTGATTTTTAATTTTTAATTAATTTTTAATTCATGAATATCATATGACTGAAGATATTTTGTAATGAACACTTCTTTTCAAGGGTGTCCATACAAATCTTTCCTTTTTACCTATTTTGCTGAAGTTGTTTTTCGATTTTGAGTTCGCAATATGGTTTTATTAACATTTAGGTATTCTCCTGTTGTTTTCCATCAATAAACAGGTTTTAAGATAGATTAAGCCGAAATAAAATATCTATAATTTTGTTGTATTTATCGCTAACCGAATGAAAGCTTATGTCTTATTTTGTTGTATTTCTCGACAACCGAATGAATGTTTTCTGACTGACGATGTTCAAATGAGCCGACATGAGTTATATAATTGTTGTCTAAGAGAAATTTATTGACTTCGATTTTGTGATTTGCCAGATATTCGTAAGTTAAATTCTAACATGACAGAACCTCTACCATCAATTTCACACATGAATCTCAACATGCCAGGCCTGCAATTTCGTCTATAAAAAGTCTCAAATATAAAGTGTTGGAATGGCAATTACATTCCTACTGCTGACAACCAAAGCTCGTGTTTGATTTGTTTAACACAGGAAATTGTTTTAATGGCATCTTAAAACCATTTCTGATCTAATTTATTTCCATGAAATAGAGTTCTGGATGACTGATTTTTTTTTCTTTTCTGATAGAATTATTAACTGACGTTAACACTAAGTCAGTGTGTTACTTACAATTTGCAATTCACGTATCAGTATGGATATTATGTTTCACACAAGATATTCTAAACAGATATTAAAAATAATGATATACAATTTAACTTTGATATAAACAAAGCAATATGTACGAACAAGATACATGTGTTTCCGATAAGTGAACAACTGCAGCGATGCTGCTTTGGGGTTTTCGCTTTGTTGTTACTTCCCTTTGGAGACTTCTTTTATTTGAATTGAGTGCGCTGTCTGGACATGTCAATGGTTTTGTCAGCAGAATGTTGGCTTTGTAAGCAGAAGTTTGCAGGTTTTGACCCAACGAAGGAAATTTCAATGTTTGTTTTGTTAAGTGCTGTGTATAAAGGTTAAAATATGAAAAGGCAAAGCCTTAAAAGAGCGAAGCTTTTGTTGATCTCTGATATTTACTGATTTAGAATGATATAATTTTAATACTGCTTTCAGAATGAGGTAAGAGAAAATTATTTAAAGTCGATTAGTCGAGGGATAACAATAAAACAAAAACTCTAATGAGATTAAGACCGACATAACAATAGGGAGACCGGGGCAAGTTCGGCCCATTTTTATTAAAGTCCGTTGTGGGAAGTATGGCAGCACGTCCGTTTTTGGACATTATTTGATTTTTAAGTTTTTTTTTAAGTTCGACCCCATTGGAATCAACTTAATTATGACGTTATAAAGCCTGCAACGTCAGATTTTATCGCCAATTTTACGACTTTTTATGTGTTACATGGGCCGAACTTGCCACGGTATCATTGGCCGAAACTGTCCGGGCCCAAATTGACATTTCAATAAATTCTTACTGTACAGCAATATGGTATTGAGTACTTGGCTTGGCTTTTATGTACACGTATATCATTTGAAGGTGTCAGTGTGTTACACGTTTGACCGTAAACAAATAGCAGTTCCGTTTACAGAAAGCTCGCATAACTAAAAGCGAGATCATGATTGTGTTTCTACCCTCTCAAAAGTAATTTTCTCCAGTTTAATAATTTTACATTAGAGGTTTCCTCGCTATTTTTTCGTGTGAATGCCCAGCCAACTAAACTGCTAAGATCTTTAAGTCGTTAATATTAGCTCAAAAACAAAAATATCAGGGGTGGCCGAACTTGCCCCGGTCTACCGTATGTTGTTTTTTTGTATCGTTGATAATTGGTAAATATGTATTCACAATATAATTTTTGCAACAATGACACCATTTTCAAAGCTAAAGTAGATATTTATTCTTGTGCGTAATGTATATGATGGGTCGGGTGGCGCAGTTGATAGCGCGCTCGTCTTCACCAGGATGAACGGATTCAATTTCCTGTTACCTGCCCGACCACGGGGGTTTATCCGAATACTCCGACTTCCTCCCACATTAAGAATAAAGTCCTCCGCATGCTTCCGTCAGGTCACAAAAAGTTTGATCGAAATAAGGTGGGAAAATACTGTTTGGTAATTGCTATAGAAAAAAGTGCATATGACATATTTGACGATAAGTCTATAAAAGTAAATGTAAAGAGATGTTAGTTGAATTGAAATTGAAAAAAGAAAACATTGTAATACTTTAATGTAACTGAGATTGTCGTTATATCGATATTTTGAATTCCTGTTCCATCCTAAAACACCGGATTGAATTTACAATCTTGTAACTGTCACTGAGGTTTGACAGGTAATAATGCCAAATACATTTAAACAGTTTCTGTCTCTAACTTGTTATAAATCGGCATGCGTTGTAAAAAAAGTAATACGTTGCTGAAAAAGGGCGTTGAACTCGGGTTGGTTGTATGTCTGGACAATTATTGTTGATTTCGACATCAGTAAATTATTCATTGTTTCTTTTATGAGTGGTGATGCATACATAAATTATGTAAAGACTATAACCAGACTTTCAAAAATGTTAATTATTTCGTTCATATTCTCAACAAATGGAAATCAAAAGCAGATGAAATTTTAGACTATGAAAAATATATGTACATGTTGACCTCTTGGTTAAATGCGGCTCTTTTTGATAATATCTCCCGGTAGAAATATTAACAGAACCTGATTGATGACAAAATAGGATCTTCAGAAAACATCCGCGTTTTTACTTTTTGTGCCTGTGGCAAAATCTGTCATTAAAAAGTCATGAAGCACCGACAAAGAGATAAATGCAACGGCCATCAGTTCCAACATTTTCCGGTTATTTTTCATCCTTCCGGAAATAACCGATGAAGGCCGATGGAGTGTGACGTGATTGTGACGTCACAATAGGATAA